CTCGACTTCGTGCAAAAAACAAATTTATGACTGATCCGAGTCAGTCGCACTCATCAAGGTATTACTGCACATGTATTTCTTTGTTTTTCTGTAAATCGGAGTCCCAATTTAATAATAAAATTTTTCATACAACAATTCTGTATACTACGTTACGTTTTTATTAAGCAAAATAAATAAAGTGGCAGTATTAGGGACACTGGCAGTAATTGGAACATTCACCCTAATACGAATATCCATAACACGACAATTTTTAGGAATCTAATCACCGTGTTATACGAGGATTACCTGTACTATATTTCTCATGAATTTTTCAACTACAACCTAATAAGAATTATCTTTATTTAATGGAAATCATCCACTGTAAGATATCCTTTAGACTTCAATATTCGAACCTTTTACGTCGTACGTTAAAAGACATTAAACGAGCTCAGCTCCGTCTGTGAACTCTTTAAAGTCAGAAATTGTACCTTTCGTCCTAGAGGATTTAAATGTCCCGTAAAGGTAGGTACTCTTTGATACACTTCACCTTGAAGTAGAAAACACGTTATAATGTCTCGGTACGAATCCCGTCAGGTGCAAGATACGTACACTCCCACTTATAAGTATTAGGACACTTATTGAATAAGCAGTAAATACCATAAGACATTACGAAATCGCTGAAAATCTCAAACAAACATTGTTTAAACGATATTAAAGCTCAATGGACACTGCTTATGACACTATATAATAATAAAAGTCACCTAAAATATATCATGTTTACGAAATATCATATTTTCTTCGTTCAGATCAGGTGTCCTAATACTTCTGAACGGTACTGTATGTGCATTGCCCTAGATCGCGGGACACGTTCTGCGAGCGAATTCATTAACGCAATGCAGCGAACCATTCAGCGGTTTTAATGGCCTCGTGCTCTCCCGTGACGATGATTTATTGCAGTTAGCATTATCAAAGTCGTGTGTGAATTCGAAAGTGTACGTACGCACTTTCACTTCGCGGAAATTGTTCACGGTGAGTGCCAACCACGGTTTTCAAGGTCTGATTTCATAGATCGATACGGGAGGGAGGATCTTATCGAAATTAATTAACAAAACAATTGCATCTGCTTAATTTTTCGACGCGTGTTATCAACACTCGCATGTTACGGAATTACTGTTTATTGCTTCCTAAGAAACTTACGGTTAGGATACCCGAATAATTTATTTCGCAGATTTAATGGTCGCGCGTATACATATAGAGGGTGTTTCTGAATTGCGAAACGTGTGTAAGCTGTTGGCTACGGACGCTCGTAAAAGCAAGCATAAATGCCTGAGACTTTATGGTTTGGAGAATACACAGCGGGTAATTACATCTTATCCCCAATCTCTTCTTCCATATATCTTCCCGACTGGTCACTCGTAGTCGACTGTTAAACAGTTTGTCTGTGGTATCAAACATAAAATGATATAATGTTGCCACGTAAAAAGTCGAATAACTCGGAAACGATCGTGTTTGGGATTAAGAATATCAACAAAAAGTGGTGCATTTTCGGTATGCTTTTCACTTTAAACATTATTTAAATATATTTAGATGTCTATAATCTGATTTAAATTTAGATCATTTTGTTCGCAAGAGTCCAGAGAATTAATTTGTCTAAAAAGAAACTGAATAACTATTACTGTAAAAACACAACACAGCTCCAAATTTGAAAATTTGCAATTTTTTTTCAAATTTGATTTTTTAAAAAACTGGACGTGCTGGAAAGAAACGGGTTGCAAATTCGTATTTAGCTCATAAAGATCTATCAGAAACACTTATTGACAATTGCACAAATTTTTACGTGTTGAACAGTTGAACCTCCTAACACTTGGTAAATTGATTTCAAGTACTAAAATAAATAATAAATCGAATGTTAATTTGACATATATTTCAATAATTCTCGATACCAAATAGCAGGAGGTCCTTCCCTACGTCACGTTTTCTCCTAGTCAAAGCCGAGTTGGCTCCTAAGTGTACGTTTGACTGTAACGTGACAGCAAATGTTCCCGTCTGATTGGCCTATGACTTCCGTAGGAAAGACTGCCACCTTTGTCGAGAAGTTTATGACAACCCGAAGATCTTTTCAAACAGATTCGTACGAGTCGTTACGCGTGCTTGCGACATGTACACGAAGGAAAACTATGTACTTATAAAAGACTCTGCTATAAAGCATAATTATCACGAACCTGTGAAACTTGTAACAGTATTGGCAAATCACCAGTCACTCATTTCTACATTTTGATGGACATTAATGTTAGTCAATCTTTGCTGGACTAAAAACGTGTTACCGTGAACCGTGTGAAATCTCGATTCAAGACGTTTTTGAAATGTATCCCAGTTGATCCGAAGGAAACGGTAATCTTAAGAAAAAGCGTAGAAATTTGAATATTACAATCATTGTTATATTTTATTCTGCTTTTAGGAGCCTTCGAACATTCAACGAGAATTTACTGTACCTGAAATGATATCTAGGTTTTATCATTTCAACTTATCCCATATATTTCTAATTAAAAATTTCTATACATTTAAATTAACTAAATATTCAATTATAGGAATTAAACTTTCAAAGGATCGACCACTGTATCGGGTGCCTAGTATGCTGCATTTCATAAAATTTACAAGAAAACATAAAAATAATCTCAGCGAATGCTAATATTAACTTCTTCTGTGAAGCTTCTGACCCTCAGTGCTATTGTTGAGTACTAAAAACTTTGCCACAATATTTTTTCAAACACACTGGCCCAAGTTCCACGGGAAACCCTTCCCAAAAAAATTTGTAACACAACGCCCCTCTTCGAGACACCCATTCAATTAATAAACAAACCATCGAATAATATTTAAACGTTCATCAACTTTATTTCTTCGACATCTTCACGGTATTCAAATTTACCATTATGACATCGACCGAGAAAGTTCAATACACAAAAACATCTCAAGTATCCAAACTACTTAGAGCCTCTCTCCCCCCTTAACTTTCACTAATTTTCAAACGGAAGAGAATGTCTGTACGAGGAACTTATCAGACCAGGGAAAAAGGAAATGTCTATCCGTCTTCTTTCACGAGTTTCCGTGATTCGGCCGCGTTGATCGAGTATCCTTCGAGATCCAAATCTCCGTCTAATATCGGCGAACGAGAAAAATATCCGCCTGTAAATGGAAAAACCAAGTGGTGACCGTGTGCTTGAAGGGACGGGGGTCAACGGGATGTGGGGATCTCACAATCAAAATGCAAAACTCTCCGCCAGGCTTTCAATTGCATGGAATATATCGGGAATATCCGCTGGAAGTGAATATCGAGCCGTCTCCCCGGACACGTTGAAAAACTAGTTGAAAGGGGGTTGGGAGGGGGCGGAGGAGAGGCCGGTAGTTTCCTCGGAAGACGAGGTCTCGTCACGCGATTCAAAGGCACACGCTCGCCTTCCGAAACGAGATTATCGCGGGTATCGATGATACACAAAGGTGGGAAATCCGAGGAAAATTTTCATCGACGCGATAGACGGACCTAGCCGTTCGCTTTTTCCGTCTTTCCCAACCCCTCCTACATAGGGGGATGGAGGTCCCTCTCAGGGCTGGCTAACCATAAAAATTTTCCATTACTAGATTTACCTTTTTTTTTTTGTATTTTTTAAAATACAATGTGTTAAGAAATGATAGATTTATTCGTAGTTATACTATAATAAATATATCGATCAATCTGAAATTTTCAGGGTATTAGACACTTATAATAATAAATTTCTATGTTAAACATTATTTAATAAAATATCATTTTGCATAAAAGTCCGCAGTCTACTTACGACAAATATATGATGAAATTACAGTTCGACCGCAAAATTTTGGTAGCCACTGTACATACATATATAGGGGCACGAAAATCATTTAAGTGTTCGGGGCCTCTAAAGGTCTTAATTCGACCCTGGTCTTTCCCTGTGAGTGAAATAAATAACCCACGAGTTGCACCTCTCAAACCCCCGTTCAGAGGGAAAGTGAACTGGTGCATGGTTCCCATTGTGAAATCGTCCCTCTTCGAATAAAATTTCGGCGAGCAATTTGGGAAATCGCGACGGACGAAAGGATCATAAAACACGATGGGACACGATTCCGCTGATTACCTCTGAAAGATCCGACCTGGGAGGGGCGGTAGGAGCAATGATAGAGCCATGGTCCCGTTTGCAGAACGCCTTTACGGATTTCTCCAGCCACGTCTTAGCGATTTCCCTTTGTATGCAAATTCGGTCTTATATACGGGGAGTACGTATATGCGGCCGGCTGGTTGCAGGCAGAGATCCAGGGGGATGGCTGAGTGTAAATGGCGGACTGGCTAGATGATGGAAATGTGCGTTGCGGAGGTAGGCGAACAGTCGTGTGGTGTTCATTGGTGCACGGGATGGAACTGGACTGACATCGTATAACCACACACAGTTGAGGATTCTATGTGTAATAATACATCGGAAATGTAGAATAGATTCTTTGTATCGTATCTGCTGCGGGAAAAGTGTTACTACTCGTACACTGCTGAAAACAGTTGAATGGAAACATCGAATAAGGGTCTATAGTAGAGCTGTAAGTATTCGGATAGTCGAATTATCCGAATAATTCGAATAATTCGAATAATTTATTCGAAGAATTCAAATACTTCGAATAATTCGAACAGTACGGAATATTCGAAGAGTGCGAAGTATTCGAATAGTATGAATTTCGGATTGCACCGAATAGAAGTTCGAAAAACAAATAATTGTGATGACCAATGTGAAAAGGATTTCAATATAAAGTGTGAAAAAATACACTATGTTCGGATTTCTATTCAGTACAATCCAACATTCGATCACTTCGAATACTTTTAAGCTTTGTCCAAAGTACAGCTTACCCAATCACGTGTATAATAGCATCAGCAACAATGCTCCTTTCCACAACGAACAACCATCGCTGGATGATCCTCTGTAATCTCTTTTCATTCTCAAACTTTCTTCTTATTCCGTTGGGAATATTCAACAAGGTGGCGGCTGACAGGAAACGGTCGGTATCTGACAGGGATTCGGACAAACGGTGGACAGAGCAACGAAACAGGACATCGGGATTGTCGGACACGGGGACGCTGTCTCAACGATTGGGCATATTTTCTTGGGACCCGGTCCGTGCCCCATGATCTCCGGTCGATTCTTTCGCATCTCTTTCATCAGTTCCAACAGCTTCTTCATCTGCTCCAGACGTGCCGCGTAATCCGACTTCTTTCGTTTCTCTTTCCGATCCAATTTCAATGTTTGCGTGGTCTCGTCGCACGGACCCTCGAGCTCGTGACACCGACAAATCAGTTTGTCCGGATGAAGGGGCGGCAGGATGGTCCTACTACCCCAATGGTACGATTCGACGTCCTGCGTGGACAGCTCGCGGAATTGATACTCGTAGAGATCGTCCGATTCTTCACGGGCGTAGAACGCCTTACGTATACTCATCGGGGCGTGCAACTCTGTTATGATGCATCTACCCAGACAGCTGATACGCATGTACACCTCGATCGTTGCCTCGGTCTCTTGGTAACGATCGTCGAGCAATGTGAAAGTGCCGCGCGTCGATCTGTGACGATTAGGATGTTCAAGTTTTTGTAATCAGTTCCACGACGCAGGGAAAAAGCGAGAAACGCCACGGACCCGTATCAACGGGCGCCCATCCGCATTCTTTGGCGGTGAAAGATAAAACGTTATCCCTTGAATTATGTTCGGGTCGGGGGCGGTTAACGAACTTGTTCCTCGACGTTCTACACGGGTGGATGTTGGTAATCGTATAATGGAGAGGGGCTTTTTGGAACGAAAGTGGAGTCTAGTTTTGGGTACCAATGGCGATATGAATGATTATAATTGGTTGGGATACTAGGGATAGGATTAATGTCAATATGTATTTATGAATTCGAGTTAATTTTAGTAACCAAGCTTCATCGCGTGGGTTTCGATTACTACTCAAAAGAAATAAAGTTTGAAGGAGTATGCGTGAAATGAATTTATACAAGTTGGTTTCGAACTCTAGAATGAGTATCTGTGGATTCGAAAATGTATTTGTAAGTAGTTTGATGTTAGAAGGATTCGAACTCTTCACAAGTAGTATTTGAATTCTGAATGTTAGTGAGATGTGGATTACTGATTGAATCATTATCATTCATTGTACCGGGTATTTAACTTTTAACAAATTAATTTTGTTCGAAAAAATATGGGTGAATAAATGTAATTTGGACCAATTATATAAAATTTTCGCTAAATTATATACATTTGCAAAGAATAGAAAATTTCTGATAGAAATACTGAGAAAAAGTTCGAATCTAGTCAAACCTTTTTCGTCTGGGTTTGAGTCTGCTTTCCTTTTTCGAAGTATTTATGAAACGTTCGAAACTATCCAGTTAGACTCGAACCTACTTGTAATATACTTTATCCCATCTGTAGTTCTTATATAATCAATTTTCCAATTTAAAAATGACATTTGTTATGCAACAATCTAACGATAAGAAAAGTTGAAATTCAAACTCTGATCCGAAAGGGATATGTCTTGGTAATTTATATATTGACGAACACGTATTAATTCCTTTTCACTTTTTACACTTCATCCACGGACAATAACGCTTCAAAAACGTTCAAACTACACCGAACAGCATGATAACAGAGCGTTGATTATTTTACAATTAACATTTGCAGAGGAAATCATATAACATTTATACCTGATATCTCTGATAAAATTATTTAATGGAAATGCAAGGGATCACGTTGAATTAGCGTATTTAATACCAGGAGTGAGTGATCACGTTTATTAAAATTAATGTGAAATCACTTGACCGCACAGGAGTATTAAAATATCGAATTTAATTACAGTGACTCGCGTATTCGTTCGCATACTTTCCAAATTACAATAAAGTGTACAAATTTTTATGCAATTTCTACTTTTATCATCCTTTCGAGATAAATTTCTCATAATTTTTTAATAAAACTCATAGTTTGCTACGTAATCTGATAAAATAAATGTAACAGCTTATCGTGAAAAAATTTCAGATTCACTACACATTTCTACATTTCGAAAGCGTAATAAGCTTATTAGTTACTAAAACTTCAGCTCCAGAAATTAGTATTCACAGATATCCAACCAAAGATCGGACATAATAAATCCTTCTTTCTTTCTATCTTTTTTTTTTTTTAGTCGTTCCATAAACTTGCCCAATTCGAATGGACCGAAACGGGGAAAAACAAGGTGTACACGGTATTGCACCTGTATTTTCTGTCGAGGCGGAAAAGAATTTTTACGTGGATACGGGTCAGACAAACCGACACAGGTCCTTCCCCAAATACAAATGAACAGAATTGTTCAAACTAGGGAGTAGAGGGTGGCACACGGTACAGCGGTTTTTTAAAATTACATTAACCGGTGGCTTCACTGGCTAACATTCACCGTGTGTCGAGGTGGTGGACGGGAGGAAAGGGGGGAGGGGAGGGGTAATCCGTTCCGCTGACGAATTTACATAAACGCCAGACCCGCGTATTTAAATGGATTCACCTTGATATAGGCTCCCGGTCCAGGTCACCGGAAAAATAACCGTCTAGCTCTTTCCGTTCTCGTAGATCCTTGATAATACCGTTAAGCTGCGTATCCACATTGACCAGAACGAAGCCGAAATTCTGTTGTCGTCTGAGCTCGAAAAATTTGGACACCTGTTTGTACACGTAAATCTGCACGTCGACACCATCCACGGTGCTTTCGAGCGTCGTTTCCGGCACGGCGAACAGCAACGACTTGCCGCCGTAGAAACGTTCCGTCTGATAATTGGATCCCCGATAAGAGCGGTAGTCACTTCGATGGGGCGTCAGAGTAACCCACTCGTTATCCAGCATTCGAAACATTATGACGGTCTTCTTCAAGAGGGCCTCGTCGAAGACACTCGTCCATGGCATGTACAACTGTGCTCGGGAGAATACGTACAGTGGGTGAACAAAGATTTCGAGCACCCTTTAAAACAAACCCAGTGACGGATCAAGGGGTGTCTGAGGGGGGGGGGGCTGTAGTTTTGTCCCCTGGAACGAGGGGCCCAGTTCTGAACCTTTAATTTCGTTATAATTAATTGTTATTTAATTTGATTTAAAATAAGTTTCAATTTGTGGAGATTTATGTTATTTTATTTATCCTAACCAAGTGACTTGAGCTTCTGGGGTGTGGAGCTAGGAAGAGTAATTTACTAAATGGTATGGAAAGAAAAAAATTGCAATTGGTCGGAATTACGAAGAAAATAGTAAAGATCCCTTTTTACAACTTTTTTTATGTGAGTTTGTATTGAAAATTTAAGAAATGCATACATATAAATAACAGGGTTAAGTTTGGAATTGTAACAGAACTACACACTAGTTTACAGAATTCTTTAACCGGAATACCGTGTAATAGAGATAGGCAAATTCATTATCTAGATACAATGTTTCGAATAAAGAATAGTTATTAATTCGGTTATTTAATCTCATTAACTGTTTAAAGATCAGTATGACGATGTTATTGTTAGATACTGTTGCGTTTTACTATCTATTATTCGAATAAAATTCTGCCCGATTCTGCCGTGTAATTTGTTATAGGTATGTATTTTTTTAAATCATGTTATAGGTATGTATGTATTCCGTGTTATACAGGGGTTTCCTATACTATCTATAAATTCTGCAATAAAACTCATCTGTAATGAAACAGCCTGGTAAATTCATCCAATTTGTATCAGAAGTGTCTGGGCAAGTTTGGTTGTCCCCAACCGTCCTAAACTGATTTGTTTTCAATAAGAAATTGTCTCTTCCCACTCATTCGTAAATTGCACGCGTTGAAAGGGAAGCATGAAGCTAAGCAGGCTGATGTCCGCAGAGAAACTTTATTTGCATCTGGCATGAAATCAGATGAAACAGAAAGACCGGTATTTTCTCATTTTGACACACGTTCGTGTCATAAAAACTTTCATACGCCGCTCGTAAAGTGACACATCACCTTATAATAAAAAATGTCCTCGCATTCAGCTTTCTCTTGAAAATGTATGTACGGTATCTTTTTTAAGCGCAGTATCCGAGACGATGCTTGGAGAGGAACAAAAAAAGTGGTAAATTTTAACGCTGAACTCTTGTCCAAAGTGCACTATGTTGGTAGCAACACTCCGTGTTTTATTCTTTTTCTTTTATTCCGTATGTCATTCTGCGCCTTTCGCGGGATTTATAACTCGAAAATTTCGTTTCTCTAGCGGAGAATTTTCTTCGTATTCGATCAACGGTAACGTGAATTAAATGATCGATACGCAACCTCGACGATTGACTGATTCGGTGAAAAAGGAGCACCACTTTTTGCGAAAACTAAGTTTCTCAGAAAATTCGATATTAACTCGTCGATATTTTAGTTGGTAATTGAAGTACGTGGTAAATGGCAATTACTACCAAAACTTGACTCGAAAATTCATACTTATGTTAGACGTTTTTTAACGCCCATGTTACGGCTATTTTAGGTCTAAGACGCCTTTAAGCCGTCTTCAAGGTGTCATTGGGCGTCTTGTGCTATCTGGAATTATACTGATCAGAGTTGATTAGAGCTAGCTTAATAAAAAAACGGATAATAATAATCATCTATACTTGGTAATTAAAGGTACTTATAATTACGCGTTAAATTTGCGATAAAAGTTTTCCACGTTTAAAGAAAATTGGAGATACCGATCGAATTGCAAACTGTTACCAAAACTAATTTTCCTAAAAGTAGTTGTCGCGTAAGCTTATACTATTGTGGCATGTGCTCCTTTTCCATCAAGCCCCTCAATTTTACCACGATATTTAACTTTTAATATCTAACCTCCCTAACGTCAAAATCCTCTGTCAACTTGTACTTTAATGTTCACGTGCCGAGATAAGGAGCAAAAGAAAATAATTGTCGACCATATCTCTACGAAAGCAGTAACTAGTGTATCAAACCCACAAACTATACTCACATTCTCCACGGCTAGTTCCAGCATTATCAACCGCGAGTCTTGCGCGACGATCAGCGACGACATCCTTGTAGTATATCATACGTCCTATATCGATTTACGATCTTCCTTCAAACGACCACGTGTAATTCTTCGAAAAGTTTGATTTATCGCCGATAAAACGCCGAGAGGGAGAGGGAGGAGAGATTCTTGAAATTTTTAGTAGTTGCTGACTATTACCGGGGTAAATCACGGGTTTTATGGGGTTGGGACCGTGTCGCTGCTACCGATTCTGCGACATCGCTAACCGCTCTGTGGAATCTGGAAACTAGATGGCGCTCGATGGATATTTTCACGGATAATTCAAAGTATTCAATTTTTTTGCAAAATGTTCTTGTTTAAAACATTCCCTTAGTAACTATCAAAAAGTCCAGACATTGTATAAGTTATAAATTGTAAATAATAAGAAGTTATTAAATATTAATTGTTACTTCAAAAGAGTTCAGTAATTTCTGGGAGGTTTGTGAAAATAAATTCAAAATATAATTACACTTTCGCTACACCTCATTTTTATTGGGTATAGGAGAAAGTTCTGTTGTTTTGAAACAAATCCAAGCTTTTTAATGTGGCCTAATGCTGCTATTTGGTGGACCCCAAGTATATTTGCAATATCACAGGGCGTTTATATTTGTTTGGTCTCTTTTTGGCGTTGGTCTCCCTGACCTGGGTTTTTGTTTTAATGAAAAATCACCACTTTGACATTTTTCGAACCACCTTCGGTGATAAACTGATTACTATAGAAAATAATTAATTCACTGGATTAATTTCTATTACTGAAAACAATAGGACAGTTAAGCTCGAAACGGACGTAAGTCTCGTTTCAATACCTGTCGCCGTCAATTGGCAGGAAGCTTTGAAACTTGACAAAATAAAAAATCGACCGATCTTTCCCTTACACCCAATATAAAGGTAGACTCGCCCTCTCTAATGTTGACGACAGCTCTTCACGTTGGACGCGCGGTCTATCTTCATAAGTCTATGGTTACGTGTCGGTGTGTTTCGAGAAATATATTTTATTTTGTCACGCGAGAGAAAGAAATACCGGCTAACTTCGTTTCCCTTGGTCCTCTGAAATTAATAGACCCCCGAGTGGTAGAGAGAAGTGTCCCGTCAACTCCGTCTATATATATATAATTTCGTCGTGCGCGGGATGGAATATTTAGAAAGCTTCTCCGGAGGAAACGTTAATTAGAAAATAAATTGACCGAGGAATAAATGGACTTCGCCCTGTTCGAGGGAACAAAGATGCTCTCGAACACCGCCATTATCAATCTTTCAGGTTTATTCTCATTTCTTTTCTTCTATTCTATTCTTTTTTTTTATTTCATTCCATCACAACAAAAGAATAATATGGCACTGATAACAATCCGTGTGGGTGTGAAAACCGATACCGGGGAACCGTTGCTCCTCCCTTTCTCACTCCCTGTATGTGTGTGTGTGTGTGTGTTTCGCCTTTTGTGCTCTTGTTTCCGAGTTGTTTGCTGTACATTGGAGGCACTCAAGAACCAGTTTCCCGTCTCGTCCTGTAAGTGGAAACACCATTAAAAATACTAGGTGGGAGTGGGGGATAGCGGGCATCAGGGCGCGACGTGATAGGAAATAAAAGGAAAAAAAAAAGTATGAAAAAGAACACGAGAGAAAAAGAGGATCGGCTCGGGGCCGGAAAAATCGTATTAACGACGAAGATGGATAGCGGTTGGTACAAAATCGACGGAACACGGGCAATTTATAGACACTGCGAATGCACGAAATCGCGTCCAAACGATTTATCGGTAAATGTCGCGAACAACTTCACCCTATGGTATACATAGAGCAAACCGTGTTTGCCCTCGGTTCTAAATGAGTATTTGTAGGCGTGGAAGGGTAAAATGTTCGTAACGTAAAATTATATACCATCATGTGGGTGAAACTTTAAAAAGCCTGGACCAGCGAACAATTACCGTATTCACCCAAATAATTAACTTCGGTCCCACGGGTACCGCGAGTTGCTACGATTTGTAATTACTTTCCCCTTAAATGGTAAAATTTATTATTTCCTGTCTGTTGTGTCTGGCAACATTTAGGAATCCGTAAAAAAATCCGTCGTGATAGATTAATCCTTTCAGGCCTGGTGGTCATATTTGTGTACGTGAAGTTTCTTACAATTTCAAACCTTTAATGTTCCCAATACTGAATTTTTTTCTCTTTACTCTCTTAACACCTAACCGATGTGGTTCGACGCAGCGTTAACTGCAAGTAATTTTCATAAGACCAATTTTAAATTGTCCATATTTTTTAAATGTGTCAATTCGTGACACCGCCATCTCGCGTCGTTCGTCGTTAAGAGATTCTCGTTCTGACCTGGTGATCATCGGTGTGCGAAAGGAAGGATATATCAAGAGCCTGGGTTAGATATAATTCACGAGAGGCAGCTCGCAGAAGAATGGGAAGTTCGCCTCGCACTGGACGTCGTCGAGCTTGCCATCCTTCAGGATAGCTCCGCAGTTCTGTACACCACCCCCGTTGTCCGGCTGTCCGCCCCACTTTTCACTCCACCAGCTGTACCCGGTTTTCGCGAGCGGGTCCCCGAGAATCGTGACCCAATCGCCCTCCATGTAGAGATCGTGGATACCGAGAAATGCCTCGTCCGGGAACGCGGCGCCAATCACTGGCCCGGCTTGATCGAATATTTTCGTTAATACCTAGAGAAAGGAATAGAAGAAAGAAAAAAAAAACGTGAAAGAAAATGGACAGGTGGGTGGGCTGGTATAGTAGAGCTGAGTGACGCTATCGGACGCTTTTAATCGAGGCCCACCATAAATCGCCCTTTCAACAGGGCTCGCTATCCCGTTTCGCGAGCGTTAATGGCGTCTGTGATGGCTCAAAGAGCCGAAATATAAATCGCTGACACGGTTAATTCGAGGCTAGAGCCCGTGGAATGAAACGGTGGGGGGGGGGGCGCTCCCTCGACAGGGTCGATTGAATTCGAAATGAATCGAACAGTTTCCCCTGGATTCAAGAGGAGCTCGGGTTAGGAGGGGCTAAGATACGTCAGCTAGACACGGTCGATTTAAAATTGATTCTTTCTACGCTAACGCGCGCCCTCCACCCGAAGCATGTTCGCTGAATTACGCGGGATTAACCTTTTGTGATCGAGTCTTCCTCTCTCGAGACATCCCATTTCGATACGGGAGCGGTCTTACTTTGGGAGCTGAGTGATGGACGATACAGTATCGATACATTCCGTACTTTTACATTTACTTTTCAATTCAAATATCGATATTTTATGTCCGAATTAAACGTGACGATATATTTCAGTATCTATACTTAAATCATAAATGTCGTTACTTCGATAACATCGCTGCATTACCATAATGTAACAGATCGCAAGAAAAATGGACCAGTCATGCAGCTTCTCGTAAAGTATTAAAGATTAATACAGATTGGTCGATTTCTTTTCTACATCGTTACCTGAGAATCTGCCTTAGTAAATATCTGCTTCAATAAATGATTTATTTTCATTTTTGGATTTTGTTACTTCCAATTTAATTGAATATTGAAGCATTATTTGAATATTTGAATAGTATGAAATATTCATATTATTTAAATATTCGAAAAACAGATGTGATCGAGTTTCGGATTGTACCGAATAGAAATTTGAAAAACAAATAATTGTAAAAGCCAATGTGAAAAGAATTTCACGTAAAGTGTGATAAAATATATTATGTTCAGATACCTATTCAGTAGAATCCACAATTCAGAATCAAATATTTCGAATACTTGGAATATTTTGAAATATTCGAACGATTCGAATTCCACTGCAATTCGAGTATTCGAATTATTCGAATATTCGTCACAGTCGTAATCGATACCAAATATCAATACAATTCAAATGTATCGTCATCACTATCGAGAGCCTCACATTTATCACTAGATGTCAAACAAGTTTAAGATTATTCCCTCGTATTATCGGTTCACGTGGTAAGTAAGATATTTCGCGGATCAAACTTTCCTATACATTATACATGTATTTAAAAAATAATCTTTCCTTACACATTTGTACTGAATATAGATAAACATTATCGGTTACTTCCGGTGCAGCGTAAAAAAAGAAACAATCTTTCACGCCCAATGCAGTGTCTAACATAAAAATACCATTCCTAATATGTATGTCCTCGTAATAATGAATAATTTTGCACATGCAAACAAATTGTTTAATTTGCCCTTTTACTTAACAACTCAAAGATATATAACCCCTTAACACTAGAACTACCAATATTGAAAGTATACTAAATCGAATTGCATAATATTAGTACAATACAGTATAATCTATTAAAAATTAAAAATCACCATAAAGTCCACGAAAACCACCATTATAATGTCAGTATTGGTAAAATATGAAATCTGCAATCCGTCAGTCCGATAGTTTCGGTAGTTCAAGTGTTAAACGAATCGAAACCGAACGATCGGAACTTACTTGAGCTTCAGCCTTCGAGTTCACGATAGCCAGATGACCGCCCTCTTCGCTGCATGTCCTCCGCGCGTTGTTCCATGTGGTCGGTTTCATGTGAAACTTGTGCGATCCGATGTCCGGCGTGAACAGGTAATCGTCCCGTACTGGTATCCTACGTGTTCCAGGTTCGCACGAACAGATCATACCGTCCACCAGTAGGTTCTGAATCCGATGATGACGCCGCGGCGATTCATTGTGATCTGGACAGGGACCGTGACAGGGTTCAGGACAATAACAGGTCGGCTTGGTCTCGTTTTTCGTGCAAGGTACATGATTACCCTTATGATTATCGGAATGCGATTCGCTCGGAAGTATCGTCGAGTTCTGCGTCGCTCCAAGGCCTTGTGGTCCTGCGACAATCACCTGAACGCAGACGACAACTGCCAAGATGATGCAATTAACGATGAAACTGAACGTCGACATCCCTAACGACTTCTTCTCTTTCCACCCCAAGTGTCAATATAGGAAAAGTCTTCCGTTGGTATACTGGCGCCTTTTGTCTCTCGCTGTTTCACTTTAAAATCCCTTTGTCCTCGGTGGACGCCTCATTTAACGGAGCGACCCACGTACTTCTTAGCCCTTGCGATCGAGAGAGGGAACTGACTGAGGAGATACCCTTGTGCTGCGCCTGGTGTGTGTGCCTCTGTGTGTCGTTTACCGACGAAGAGCAGGCTGGCACGAACTTGGACGACTAACCGAACGACAATGACGACCAGTCAGACCCGCCCAAAAACCGATCCCTCTTTCGAATCGGACTTATACCTACTACACTCTGGCTCTTGCTGGCTGACTCGAAGGTCGGGGACTCTTGATTGGTTTCGAGACGTTGAACCTTTATATGCCCGGTCAGGTAGTATACTACAGCAATCGTGGGTATTGTACGATACAAAAAAATAATAAATATCGTACTTCGATCTTGCTATTGAAACGTTTAACGGCACGGAATGAAACGGCGGAGATCGTTTCTTCGGCAGCATCAAGGACGCGAGATCGTACGAGCTGTTCGAAAGTTAAACTATCGAACTTTTCTGATAGCTTGGTACATAAAGGTTTCGGTGTATTCGCAAAATGGAGTTGAAAATGAAGTTTTTTTTCTATTGTTCCTTTGTGATAGAAGCTACTGCAAAGAGATTTTTAATGTCGAATCTGTGATACTTGAACGGGAATCTTGAAGCGTGAATTAAGTACGAACTGAAGTTTGAATTGTTAAAGTAAAATATTTAAGATTGAATGAATTGGGGGGAAGGAAGATTTGACGATATTTCGGAGTACTGAAATAAGGATGTAAATTCTGAATTAGAAGCACAATCAGAATTAAAACAATACATGATAAATAACTTTGTTTAAGGGAAAGCCTTTGTACAGAGACAACAAATCTTTTACGGCAATCTAATATATTATAAACGTGGGAATGGGAGAAAATATTGCGTACTCATTGTTCTGAGGATACTTTATCAAGAATTTGTCGCAGAAAGAGAAACATGAAGATAATAACTGGTTCGTTGTAGTATTACCATGCGCGGATCGGTCGATGGTGTTTATCTAATCTACTCCAGCTACGTTTACTGTACGAAATTATTGAAGATGACCAAGTGTAGCTTGTCCAGACCGAATGAATCACTGTGGTCCCAAGTCAGATGGTACACAGATGACTTCTGCTCGCCATAATACAGTCACGATCAAAAATAAAAGTTTCCCGTACGTGTAACATTCACAATATAATTACGTCTTTGAACTTACACAATTTTGTATATTATAATCGTTAAGGGATTACATACCTTTGAGTTGTTAAATAAGAGGGAAAGTTAAAAAATTTTATTGTATATGCAGAATTATTGTTTACTAAAAATTCAACATATACACCTTATTAGGTATATGTTATTTCTATAGAAGGAACTTACCGCCATTTATTTATAACTTGTTTCATTGAAATACTATCTGCGATACCAGATATATCTCTGTGGGCTTTTATCTGAAACAAGTTTTTTTAATTTTATATTAAAATAGACAGAACTAGTACTTATGGAAGTTCATTTTGAAAATATCAATATTTTACAGAATGACGGTTGTTTGAATTTAAACTTGTACTTTCCGATATAAAGTTTCAATTTCTTTGGTTACTAAAAAAAAATGCACAAATAAAAAATTCGCTTCCTCAAATACTAGAATAGACAGAAAGCAGTTACACCACTTCCAAAATAAACGGCTCTAACCTAGACGATTCGTGTAACATTGAAACGTATGCCCCCCTGTAATAGGGGAAGTTCACTGCTATTTTCTGAAACGTTCCAATCTACATCGTGCATTAGACAGGGGAAAAAAGTCGGGAGCTTTCCCGTCCGCCCTACACACGTGCATTCGTAATCGTGAAAGAAAGAAGGCCCGTCAGGGTCCCGTCGCGTTTCTCTATCGATCGGCGCAATTAGTGTAATTGCAAGTTCAGCGTGTGCTTGACCTATCTTCGGCAATTAATGCAATCCAAATATCGCCGGTTCGCGCATAGGATGAAGGAGGGAAAACTTCCACAGACCGTGAATAAGGGTATTGTGCCTCTTCGAGCCACATATAGTGAATCCTCGATGAGTGTTCGAAGGCTCCTTGGCACTAACAAGGAGGAATCGCCATGTGTAGCGCTGAATTTTTAATGAGGTTTGGCATAGTGATAGAGCTTGGAATTCTAAAGCCAATGATATTTATTTCAGCTGCATGTGGCCATTAGTTTATAAAATATTGAATGTTCTTTTATTCATTATTCGAAACATTTAAATTCTTCTGTATTGTGGTTAGTATACCATGTCTGAAATCGTGATGAGAAATAATGTTTCTTCAGAAAAGGATAGATTGTATTCTCTAGAAAGAAAGTGATTAGTTTTTCTTTTAACCACAATATATAAGGATTGAAAATTTGCGGGTGGTTTTATAGTTACGCCACACAGTGTATATTTTATCAAGGAACATTTATCAACAAAATAATGCAACTGGACTGGACTTCATATCGAGTTACTCGCTCCATTCGATATGGGTACTTTCTTTCCATACCTAGTATATGTATATCCTAATGTACCGATACTAAAAAAAAAAAACAGATCGAAACGAAAGTATCGATTTTATTTACTCGTATTTACTTGGATCGTTTCATCCCTAGTTACACCTAAAAAGGTATTCGTACACCCTTGCGTACATCGTTTAGTACACTAATCCTTGTAAGTTCAAAAAGACACTCAAGTTACTTGGTCCAATTTTGAAAGAGTTTTTCTGTTTTAAAGAGTGTACGAATACTTTTTTTTACCCATGTAGCTCGCAGAGGCACTGTAATCGCGGCCGGTAACGCGACAACAGAGGAATTTCCGTCGTGCGTTTCTTGAACCTGCACCGTGGAAATTCTGGAACGATGGTTCGTGGTAATGAGCGACACTCGAGAGAGCAACAGCTGCCGCCATGAAAATATTTGCATTCGGCCCCGGTTGCAGTAGCCATAGCCTGAGCGCTGCTGGTATACATATACGTATCGATATACATATATCCGCTGTCGCTGGTATGTACAACGTCCAGCAACGGCCGTGCACTTCAATTACGGTAACTGCAAGTTCGGGCCATCGCCCGATTGCTCGTTAGAAAGTAACACAATTTAAACGGTACCCCTAATGGCCACCGTTATATGTCCTACCGCCATGGACGATAATTACACCGGATGTATCGTAATTCACTATGCCACCTTCTGTACGTCCGAATGACAAGCGAGAACGATTCAAAGAGGACAATGGCGACTCGCAAAACCCAACCGACCCTTGGTTATATGTATATACCTTTTGACCCTCGAATGGTCGACCGTTTATACCGGGTGGCCGACCAGAAACAGACCTTAAGACCGTCCAAAAGACTTTAGTAGGCCTGCAATGGATGGGTTACACGAAGTTAACGGTAATGATAGATGTTTCGAGAACTTGTAATTTATTTAATACGTGGTTGAAACAATGGTTGACGCAGAGTGAATTTTAGGTTAGAATTTATTTCCTGAGGAATGTGGTGGGAGTTTTGAAGGTTTTGAAGGAAGGAGTGGGGGTAGATAACATGACATAGCCCTACTAGCACAAAATATTGAATATTAAATTCATCTAATATTAAAAAGATTCAGTGTCTTTAGAGATTCAATCTGTTTTTAATATTTAAATATACATACGTTTATTTAATATTAGAAAGAAATATTTTCTTCCGAATGTAAGATAAATATTTATTTAATACTGGAAACAGAATACTTTTTCCAAATATAGAAAAAATTTTAATTAAAATAGAATATTCTTTTCTATGTTAATTGTTTAATTTCTGAATATTTATTCTACATTTTCTCAGTATTTATTTCTAATTTTCTGAATATCTATTTTATATTTTTTTAAATATTTCTTTTATATTCTATGAATATATAGTTTATATGTTCTAAACATTTATTTTACATTTTCTGTATATGTATGCAATATTTGGATTCAATCTTGTTTTCATTTTAAAAAGTGCGGCTGGAAAAATATTTTTTTCATATTTCAAAAAAATATTTAACCAATATATAATTTACAATGGTTTGTGATGAACAACGTGAAGTGAAATGGAAGGTCGATATCAGGTGACATTGATCCGGACGGAGATCGAGAGTTATGTAGTATGTATTTTCTGTTAAGTCAGTGTCTCGTAGAATTGTGTTAGCGCAAGGTGGACAGTTATAAGGTGATTAAACACGACACAGCGGAAAATTGTTTTCGACAGCTGTGTAATATTTCAACAGTATATCAACGTTAACAATATCAGGAAGATATTAAATCTCCCTCCACTCCTAGGAAGAACAGTGAAGGAAGATTGAAGTAAAATTACTCGAAAAGTTTGTAAACGATTCATTAACGGGGGTGCACTGATTAATTTTGAACGGTCGTTGTTAAACGTGCTACGGACACTAATGCAATAAGTATGATATATAAATTATGATGATAAGTTTACATACGCTCGTAACATTAATTCGGTTTCCCTAATGAAAGTGTCTAATAAATTACGAACAGCAGTGTAACTATTATAATATGAATTAAATTATACTATCGCCAGATTGGCATTCAATTACGATGCATGAGTAAGTGGTAATAAATATGTGTGCTGTAACTAATTGTTTCCGTGTTAGAAAACAGTAGCGTGGTATTTAATATTGCTTCCGAACATACTTGTAATTAGAGTAATGTTCTTTTAATATCCTTGATTAAATAGAATATGCACACATTACATTTTAATAATAATAATAATCGTATAATACAGGTACGCCAGGAATATTAAATTTTCTATCCTTTCACGTACTTATGCTTATACTTCATTTACATTTAAATATATCAATCATTTTTGTGGTATTTCAATTTATGCATATCCAAAATTTACTCGTCAGACAAATGGATAAATTATTAACTGGACTGAGAGAAGAGGTTGCAAATGATTGTTAATGCAGGAAATATATATGTATATTGAAATTCGTGAAAACTGACGAAATATTGTTCGTACAAGCACATTCTCCTCACTACTATACAACGAGAAATATTTGTCTATTACAAAATCTTTGACGCAATCGTGAAAGGAAAATAGGAAACACTAATTGTAGAAAGTTAATAAAAATCTGACAATTAGCTATGTATGCCAGAATATTTACTGGACGATGAAATGAATACAAGGTGGTTCGATTTCGAACGGAATTTCATGTTTGCCTCGACAAATATTCCATGCACAATTTTTGGAGTTCAAAGGATACTTTGTAATGATGTAGTGTATTTTCCTCCGCGAAAGGAATTACCAATCAACAACACGCATGCATAGTTTGCTTGGTAAATTTAATATGTACGCAATTAACCCAGTACATTTGTATTTAATTCGCCATCGCGTGAAACATAGGTATGCATATATTTAATCTGGTGGACAGAGAGATCATAGTCAACATTAAAATTCGATTTCCCCGAGAACCGCCCGTTGAATCAAATGTCGAAATAACAAAAATGGTTTCTTTTCCATCATATGAACACAACTATACTTAAGAAACTGTCGATCTGTGTTCGATAACACGAAGTTAAGTAATGTTGCTCGTTTTAAACAACCAAACCATATATGTGCATCCTATTAGGTCAATTAGGTATACAATTTTCTAGCACCTAAGATTAATATCGTTTCACTTGTATGATCCGAAAGTTTATTGCTCACTCCAAGTGAAATCAGCGACACGTTACAGGTAACTACCTCTGTCACACGTACACCGACACGATGAACTATTTATTTAATCACGATAAAAAGCCTTCATATAATGCACTCGGTTAATGTCCTGCACTTCAGTAGCATCCGAATAAGAACTGGTCATTTACCTTCACGCTACATTATTCAAGCAACGAAGCGTTACGTGTTGCATGAAAAGCGAAACTCTAAAACAGAAAATATTTATCTGATGAGTATGACTCTCGCTGGTGTAACATAATATCGTTCAGCAAGAACATCAATCCTATAGAGAAATCTTGTTAACTCGTTAATACCAAAATCGACGAAAGAGCTATATTGTCATCATCAGACTACAGATTTTATGTTCATTGAATAATACAATAATCGAGGAAAAAACAATATTGTTATCGTCGGTAGCAGGGGTCTGACGAATATTCGAATATTTTGAAAGATTCGAAGTATTCGAAATACTCGAGTTATTCGAAGTGATCCACTCTTGAAATTCTTTTCACATTGGCCTTTACAATTATTCGTTCTTCAATCGTTAAATCTGAATCTTCATCAGATAATTTCTGTTATTCGAATGCTCCGTACTATTCGAATTATTCGAATTCTTGGAATAAATTATTCGTATTCGAAATTACTCGAATTATTCGAGTAGTTCCAATATCCGAATACCTACGTGGAAGATTCGAGCCTCAATAATTACATTTCAATTCCCTGACGTGGAATACTCCTTTTTCGGCACGATTAATAAAAACCGGCCGGTCGGGGGCTGAGCAATATAAAACCCGCGAAAAGTAAAATTCATTGTACCCAACGGGGTAGTGTTTCTCGTGCACGATGCTCGGCAAAAATTAACAGCGTCGACGTGCGGGTGTGTATGTATTCAAATAACACGTAACTACTCGTTACGTTTCGGCCAAGGTAAAAAATTAAATTGTTTTGCCAAGTGGAATGTTAATGAAACGACCGTTTTTATTCGCGCTCGTTTCACTGAAGACACACAAGTTACGACCCACAATGGATACGGTCAGTTGTTAACAATGCCCACCGAACACGTTCAATTAGCTCGATTGTAATAACGCCTCGCTACGGGACCGCCTTGTTCAACTTTATTGTCAGAGTCTGAAGGGAGATAGGATCTAATTATTCTCTTCGTTATTCATGGTACCGATTTTAAGACGCGGCTCGTTTGACCTTCCGTCCGTGAACGTCAAAACCCCTTAATAGACCTTTGAAAATTGACCCCTTAATAACCCTTCAATTGGATCAGTGAAAATTTTCTTTACATAATAATTATCATGTATATCGTAAGCATTACTTGAAAAAAATTTTGATACTTACACTACCTCTTGAACTAAAAATTAATATGTATAGTAAAATTGTAAAAAGAAGTCTTGAATCGCCAGTTTTCTTTTAAAATTATCCTCAGTTTAAGACTACAGACTATTACCAAGATACTGATACACAGGGTGAATCTCGTAACGTGTTCACCTTATTCTATTGTTAGTTGACCGAACAAAATCTTTTTTTTGTTCGTGTAGCATAATATGGTTCAAAGAGATCTTTAAAATGATTACAGTACATTATTTATCAATCCATTTTTCTCGAATTTCCCAAGTTCACCTACTAGTTTTTTTTTTTATAGATAAACCTATAATTTATATCAGCAGATACACCTGCAATATCTTCGATTCAGCATAGAAAGATAAGAAACACAGTTCATTGAAACGTGTGTATAACAAAGTCTGACCTCTTAGCAGCTCCGTTCTTCTTTACATTTGCCACTTTGTACAGAACGTGCCGACATAACAGGATACAAAGGAGGTGGGCCAAAAGAACTACTCAGAGAGTTATTCATACTTGAAGTCATATCCAGATTTTACAGAGCACCATGAATACAACACGCAAGCACAAATTCTCGTAGCGAAAAGTTCTCACGAATGCTCACGAAGTTAAAACCACCTCGAGCTGTTCTCTACATTGAAACTTCGTAGCTCATTTTTGCAATAATTTCTACCATCAACTCGTGCGCATGTACTGTATGAATTTCGAAATTTTAATGAACATAATATATAAAAACGAGTAAATTAAGTTACTGAAACAAGCAAATGATTAAACATTGATCTTTTTCAATTCCTTGTTTCGTATTCAAACCATTGTCGAATTTTCATTGATTTAAAACTGTCCATTCTAAGACTGTCTTTTCTTTTTTATTCAATTAATCACATTTTTCCAAATATTTGTCTAATGTTTATCTAAAAAAATTGCAAATTATAAGCAGAAGAATAAATAAAAGGAAGATTGGACTATCTTGAGCCGGCCCGGCACTTATTCACGCAACTTTTATGATTCATCATCCGAACGAGCCGACAGTCAGAAACTGCTCGTACCGATCCGCTTTATTAACGCACATCGTCAGCGTTCAAACAATCGTCTTGATAAGCAACGGAACAACGAATTGTACAAGGAGCATTCTCTGGGAAGCGATTCCGCTGGTCGGAAACTCGAGCGGAACCCGCATCGTCCCATTATCTCCGCACGCAATAAACCATTCCCGCCACCCCGCCACCCCTATCTTCTGTCTCCTCGAGTTACTCCACACCCCCTCGAGTTGCTCCACACCCCCTTGAATGTCCTCTTCTACATCCGTCTCCGGAAAAGACAAAAAAAAAAAAACAAAAAAAAAAAGAATATCAGTCGTCCTCAGCCTCCGTCCGCCCGTTTCTCTTTCTTTCGAATAATTAACGGAACGGGTACGCGTCTTTCCGGCGAGTCGGTGCTTTTTAAGCCCCTCACCCTTGTGTCGAAAAGATAGGAAATGTAAAATTAGAGATACCAGCCGTGCAGTCTCGTGATTAAACTGCCACCACCCCTAGACCCGACGAGAAAACGTTTCGTCGATTCATCCCCCCTGCCATAGACGAAAAAAGTTAATGAAAAAAAAAGTAGCCAAAAACGTCACGATCGGATTGTTCCACGGACCCTGAACGGAATGTTTTACCCACCGATGGTGGCTGAATAAATGATCACCGATCACCGCTGGTGAACGAGACCTAACCCAGTTTCTATTTCCAATCCCCACCCCCATCCGATCCTCGCGATTCCCTTGGCCTCTAATTTGATGGACGACTAAAATGTCAGGGGGGCGCAACACTAATTGCGTGCACGTCGAATTCGAGCACAAAAAGACCAAACTGCTGCTCAGTTACTTCGCTCCAATTATCCGCACCACCCCCTCCCTTGTCATAAAAGAGGGATGAAAATCAGGAGATCGAATTACTGGTCCGTGAACGCAGCCCCCGAATGATACCCCCAAGTAGGGATGAACCGACACATGTAAATGCAAGTTAATAATCGATACTTCCGTTTCGATACAGAGTATTTTTAGTATTGATACTCTCAGTTGCGATATACATATGTTCGGTATCGAGAAAACAGTACTTATATCAAGTGGACCGAGTAATCGATATGAAAGCTAATGAATGTGAAGGTGGTTGTAGTCCAGTTATATTACTTTGTAAGTATATGTCCTTTAATAAAATATGTCATCGTTAATAAATATTCGTTAATAAAATATATATTCGTTAAAATCAGAGATGGGCAAATTTATTATCTGGATAAAGAGTTTCGAACAACGAATAAAAGATAAAACGAAGTACTTCATTATTTTTAATCGTTCAAACGTAGAAATTGCAATTTTTGTAACAAAATAATACTTCCTGAATAAGTCGAGATTTGGCAAACAGTTATTTAATCTCGTTAATTGTTTGATACACCAGCTTTTCACTATGAATTATTCGTATAAAATACTGCTCAACTCTGGTTAAAAGATATTAATAAAAAAAAAAACTTTGTATTCATTTTCCTTCGATACAAGTTATGCGTAAAGGTATCGATCTTTGACGGTATCGGTTCATCCCTTTCCTCACTAGCAAACATGGCTTCCCCTATTGGAAAAAGTGGTGCAAGGAAAAGACCTCTTATCACTTGGTATCGTGAATTACTGAAATTTATGCCAAATTAACAATCGATTTAACCTTTATTCCAGTACTTGAAATAATTTTACCAGGAGGCCCTTCTCCTACGCCACTTTGTCCCTTAGCGGAAGCAGACTTTGCTCGTCAGTGTACGTACATCCTCATCTCGAGTCCTGGTGCTCTGCTGATGTACGGGCATCAAGGTGGGTATGACGTTGCCAGGGGGGTTGGGACAATAATACGTGCGCGGTGAAAAAGCTTTCATAACTTTTTAATGAGCCGTCAGGTGGCTTCTGGAAAATTGTGAAAACTGCCAGAGGCTTTATGCGTGTCGTCGTTGCTAGTCCTGTTGACCTTCTTGCTTTCGGTGGGATAGTGGGGCATGGATGCGCAATAGTGAAAGTAATGCTTTCGTCGGAGTGGAAGACTTGGTGTTGTGTTTCGTTTTCTGGTATGAGAGCCTCAAGTGTTGATTAGTGACCATACATGCAGACGCACAAAATGGTACCTCGGAATAAGCTTTCTGGGGCCTGAAACTTTAATGTGTGTCACGCATTAAAAAAGGATGTTTCCACTTTGAATTGTAGCCTTGTGACTTATGGAAATGAAAATCGAGTGATACATCTCAGTATTGAAATTAAAATATATCCTAAACTCATGGTTTTTTGGTATAGATGACTTCGTAATTTTTTTTCAGAGTGAACGACGATCTGCATGGATTAACCTTTAGAGTACGGTGACCGGGTCCCTTTGGACCCGAGTGTTTAAAAACCGTATCTAACTCATCGATTTCTAAATATAATTTAGGTTAGAAGTTATTCATATTTAATCAGGTCAAAAAAGCAGGAGTTTTATAATGATCGCGTTCAAAAGTATGGTTAAAAAGAAGGAAACATAGGGTTTCAAACGGACCCAATTTAAATAATAAAGCAACTACGATAGAGGGATCAGTGTAAAAATGTGTCAAAGTTGATGGAGACCACTTTGAGCATTTGTTTAAATAATTTTTCGAAAAATCGAAGGTAAGTAAGATATTTAAGATGCTCAGGTGGTACACCCTGTATATGAGTCCCTGTATCCTCGCTACACCTCCACCTACAAAAAATAACTATTGACGTCAGATTATGTCATCCTTGACACCACAAGCAAGATTAGCCTGACGCATTTTATTTTTTTTGCGATCTCCAAAAGCAGTCGATTTATCCAGGTGGCCTTGTTTTCGATGTCTCGCCCTGTATAATCAGAGAATGGACGAACATTAACGACGTCTATGGATGATGAATCAGATTGGATGTCGGACAAACAATGGCCTAATACTCGACGACAACAGAGGATCACCAGAGAGCTATCGATCAACAGTGGATGACGTCCTGGGTTCACTCGAACCCACGAAATATTCTTCCCTATAAATACGTCGAGCTGAGTTTCCACCAGTTAGAACCAACCAATCCCGTTCGGTGGAACAACTTCTATCATCGCCAAGTGTTTTATACAATAATTTTCTATTATTGTGCCCGACCTGGGCCCATGCATCGTTGGGCAAGGGTTAATTGGAAACCGAAACGACGAGCAGGCACCGCGAGGAAGAGAAATTGTTCGCGTGGAGAACGGTAACGAACCGAACTTTTTCCGTCGCGTTTCAATTTCCCCGAACGGGAGGGAGTAGAAAGAGAGAGCTCATAAAACTTGCCAGGAAATCAGAATGCTAAATGGACCGTGAAGGTCTTACTTAAGCGCCCGAGAGCCGAGAATCAGGGCTACAGGGGTTAGTCACGAGCAATAGATCACCTTAAATATCCCCGTTTGGGTTGAAGATGGGAGAACACTTCCAAGACAAAAGTTGTACTGTTCCAGGGGCCAAAGGTGATTGTACAGACGAACTTTTTGTTTTGTGTTATTTTCAAGGTTATTTGAAGGTTATCAATATTTTTTTAATGGCATCGTGCAGTTTTAACTTCGTAACGTTATGACTGATTTCAAGACGAATTCAACGACCTAGTATATTATACCCTTGAAATGACCTTGGATTCAGAAACCGTCGCTCTAATTCTTAATTATTTTATCTTCACTAGTTTCTAAACTGAGAAACCTTCTCGATGAGTGTCCCTAAAATTGACAAAAATATGTTCGTTAACATGTTCTATTTGAACAAGATTCATAATTTTCAAAATGTTCTATTCCTTCAGCTAAATAAGCCTGAGCTGCAAACTTTTGATTCTGGACCATTATATGACGCACAGAAATACACAGTCGAAAAGCCCGAAAAGTATCATACCTACCGGAAAGTTCCGTCCGTTTTTGAATTAAAAGAAAATAATACATTTCCAATACATTTATTATGAAATCCACAAATTGCCATCACGCTGGCAAGAGATCATTAGTAACGATGAAAATTATATTGTTCAGTAAATATTAATAAATGCATTGAAAATGTATTATTTTCATTGAATTCAAAAACGGACAGAACTTTCCAGTAGACCTAATATTTTCACCCGCATAGATAAAGGGGGCGAGTGTGGCTATACACTGTTTCTCGTAACTAGTCCCTCACACAGACATGCAAGATCCCATAGTTCAGGGAAGTATCCCCCCGGTTGTTGGCCCCGCGATGTTCGACTCGCGTCAAAGACGTCAAGCCCAGAGGGAGGAAACGCGTGCAAGCCGTGCAATAGGGGGATCGATCGAACGTTCTTATTCCTTAAAATGGCTTCTGCTCTTCGCTCTTTTCTCCCCCCACACACAGGCCTGTAGGTCGATTGTGTAGAAGGGTAATAAGAAGCAGGCCGCGAGGATAGAACGAGGTGGTGTGGAGGCAAGCAAGATTTAAAGGGAGCCAATCGTTGCCATATAAACGGTTTTTCGAATATACTGCCACGGGTAACCGGGGCCTCCGATAACAATATATACTTCCGGCTTTATCAATGCTATTTGTCTTTCAATTGAAAAGCCCGAATGAATTCAGGAAGGGCGGGGACCAGCCTCCGACTCTCGTCGAGGAGATCGAAGCGACACGAACGATCTTCCTCTAGGATCTAGAGTTTAGGACCCTAGACTATGTCTACGTGGCCTCTCGATTTACGGCCACGAACGCATGGAGACGTCACCCACCTCTGCTTCTCGAATTTATCTTCGTGATGGGGGTAGGAGGGTGAGTTCCTGGCTCCGCGGATTAAACAGGGCAAATAAAGCAATCGCGGCGGCGGGGGCGTATACGGCGGAAGAATACGATTTAAGGGAAATTCATTTTTCAACCGGAACGCCGGGGCGGGCGCGTGAGAAAAATTCGGTATTACGGCGTAAGCATAGACGCCACGGCGAAACGCGCGATCCGTCTTTCGGGGGACACTTGAACCACCACCCTCCGTTTTCCACCAGCGCAAACGTATGAATAAATGGTTCGACCGGCTGGATGAATTGCGTATGAATGGAATTCTCCGGGCAATCCGTCCCCGGAGCGATCCATTTTCCGACTCGAGTGAAAATTCGTTTGCGGAAATTGTTCGGAATTGTTTAAATGGACTTGGTATCAATCCGGATATTTTCACCCGTTTTGCAACCGATAGACGACTCTCAGTCGCCACTCTATGTATTGCTGCAAGTCGTGTAGTCGCCACCAAGAATTGATTCAGGTATTTTTTGGTTTGCAAATTGCCTACAGCTAATAATAGAGTAAAAGAAATACTTGAAAAATTGTCAGAGTGCTATTACAACAAGAAGGGATGGAAAAAACACACCTATTCCTTGTCTGATGTTGATTGTTATGAAGTTAGCTTGAATTTAGTCTATTCTAAGCGATGTATTGTGAAATGGATGTAAACGAAAAAATTTTTAGCTATGATGAGCTAGATTTTGGAGAACATTTTAATATTATCGATGCGAGGAAATTTATTGTTACTTGCTCTGCAAAATGTTTTTCGAAATATTACACGAAAAAAAATTATAAAATTTAGGAGACTAATCCTATATCCTTTAAATATACAAGTATAGTTAATCTTACAATAAATAAATTGTGTATAAAATTGTATGTATTATAAATTTTTATGTTTGCTTAAAAGGAACTTTGGTTCCTCATACCCAAGAAAGCTCCGACTGCAAAGGGTTAAAAGCTTGACTCATTTTGTAGTTTCTTATTGGACGACCGAAGCGAGTCGTTAAGCTTTAAGGGGTTAAAGAGTTAAGCCTTAAAGTTTAAGGGGTTAGCGCTCGCACTGACCCACAGTGGTCCAGAATGTAAATTTAGCAGTTGAAACGGTGAAAAAGCAAATTTCTTCTACCTTCTCAAAAACTGACATTAACTTACCATTCACCGTGGAAGATTTGTTCCATGCATTATTGTTGATTTTAGTCTCTTTCGTATCATGAATCACAGGCAAAAAAAGAAACAAAATTCCCTAAAAATTCAGACTTTCATAAAGGTGTAATCTTCTCGAAGAATGCCCCTAGAATTGAAAAAATTTGTTCATTTTACTATTTGAATAAAATGTATAAATTTCGAAATTGTTGATAGCTAAACAAGCGTACGAGCCGCTAAATTTTGATTCTGGACCTCTGTGTGATCGCTAAATAGTCATAGATACCTCGATGATTTTTTCTGAAAATACAATGAAGTAAACTGGAAATCAATTACAAAAAAAATTAATAAATATTATTTTTTTCATAGAAAATAGTTACAATATACAAAAATATTTTTTTATCGAAAAAATTTACCGTTTTTCACAGAAAACAAAACCTTTTTTGTAGAGCACCTTTTCTGCCGATTGTTTCCCTCAGCGCTCATCACGCTCGTTAGATTTAAACTAAAGCAACAAACAAGAATTTCTCATATTCTAGAAGAAATTTTCTAGTGAAGCACATTGGTCCAGGACCTGTGAACAGTAGTGCAATCATAAAATCCAAATACGCTATTAAAACGTACAAAGACACCGATGAATACTCGTGCAAAAGCAGCAATTTCAAATATCCTTGCCAACACTATCCCGCGCACCGATATCGTTTTCCACTGAGAGTCGTAACCAGATACATAACGTCGTTCTCCAGGAACGTATTCGTATTTTCGCCTTCCACATAACACCGCGACGGCGATGATTATACACAAGTGAGGGAAAAAAAGAAAATGATATAGAGAGCCCGGTGGAACCCTTTCGCGGTGAGATTTTTCTAAAAATCGTACACGTTTTGGTGGGCGTTTCAACGGGCCAAAGGC